AGCAGAGATAAAGAAGAAGAAGAAGAAGAAGAAAAAGAAGAAGCAACGGCGGCAGGAGCAGCAGCAGCAGCAGTAGAGAAAGCGGAGGAAAAAAGAGGAAGGCAGGCAGGCAGGCAGGCAGGCAGGCAGGCAGGCAGGCAGGCAGGCAAGCGCGTCCTTAAGTGGTTGGCTTCCGTTCAATAATGCTCCGAACACAAACGGCAGCTAGCTTTGTACTGTAAAGGCATTTATTAGGGATTTTTAGCCGGAGGAGTTTAATGTCTTACACGTAGCTAAGCCCCGGCGTGGATCTCTTTCTCCTTCTTTCTCTGCGCGGCTCTCGGTGAGCGGACGGCCGCGGCGGGGGAGGGGAATTAATTAATCCGGTTGTGCAAGCGGCTCGTGGCTGCCTCCCGCGTGTGTACAGCTACGTGTTAGTTTATCGCACGGTGATATCAGCTGTTGCAGCTTCTCCGTGAGAGCGCCGCTGCCGCAGCGGCAGCCAAGAAAAAGCAGTACCGTCGCGCGCTCCGATAAGAGAATTACAGTCATCCCTTACTCGCCCATCAACTGGTAGCTGGCGGTCCAATTAGAAATGCAACTGCCGGCTCGGCTTATTAACCCTGCCCGCGCTCCTTTACGCCGTGCCATTGTCGCGCTCCCACTCTCTCTCGCTCTCTCGCGCGAGCGCGCGCGCGCTTTCCCGAGGCGCCCTGCTGTCCGGCCGTCGTCGGGCTCGATTCGGCCGCTCGTCGCGCTCACCGCGGCCCGCGGCAACTGCTATAGTTAGCCTGCACGTGAAATAATGTAGATATAATGGGCGCGCAAGGGGAGCAGCTGCGCGCGTCCGTGCACTGGCCGAGCGTCCAACGGCCAAGGTCGCTCGCTCGCTGCCGAGGTCTTTGAACCTGCCAGCGGGCCGCTCTCGGCTCTTTCCCCTTCCAAGGGCCGAGCTGCGCTCGCGGGCGCGCTGCGACCGCGGCCAGCGCCGCGGCTCGCGCTCGTTTCGCGCGCGCCGCCTCGCCGCCGAAAACTCGTCCGCGCCCCCGCGGGTCTGCCCCGCCGAGGGCGAGCAGGCCGCGCGATCGGCGCGATTGCCAGCGAGAGGCCCGCTGTCTCTCTCGCTCGTCCGTCTTTTCCCGGCCCCTTGCATCGAGCTAGCTCGCAGCGCCCGCGGCCAAGCGTATTCCTGCTTAATTTTTGCTCCCCTCGCTTTATCTACGAAGTCGCGGCGAGCAGAGTTTTGTTTTCTGCCTGCCTCGTGTACATACAAGGCGCGCGCGGCTGTAATTGGGTGCACCGCCTCGAGATACTTTCTCGGTAAAGCCTCGCAACTCTACTCGTCATCTGCCCCCCCCCCCCCTCCCCCTCCCCGCTCCCTCGATCTCCCTCTCGCTTTTGCTATCTCTCTCGCAACCAGCGAGTCACCTTGCGTTGCCTGAGAGCGCTCGGCGCCTGCGAGCACTGAATCCTGCATCGCCGCGAGCGATCGTCACGGCTGCAAGTGTGCCCTTATATCCGCGGCTTTTCCCCGATCGCCATCTCCAGTTTCCATCTGCTCGTTGAAAGCTCGAAGCAGCCGCGAGACTCGGCTCGGGGATCAGCGCGACGTTGCCTGGCTGCTGGCCGGATCGCGTTTGCCGGGGCACGCCTCGTTACGGGCGAAGGCCCCTCGGCGCCGTCGCGTGCGCGTGTGCGTGCGTGCGCGTGTGCGTGCGTGCGTGCGTGCACGGGCCGTGGCTCATCGGGAAGCGCGCGCCTCCTCCTTTCCCTCGCTCGGCGCCACGCCATTTCCCAGGCGTTTCCCCGGCGCGACAAGCGCACACGCGGGGCGCCGCGGCATGCTAATGAAACGACTCGGAGCCGCGGGAGTGTTTGCTTGGCCGCACGCGCGGCGGCGGCGACGGCGGCGACTCGTTGAGGGGCTGCTTCGCCAGGCGGTGTGCAGATGCTACGGCCTCGCGGCCGACTGACGCCGAGAATCGCTTATTCTGCGTACGTCGCGCTGAGAGCCCGCGATCGGGAAAAGTGCATCCGGCCGAGGATGCCCAAGTCTCGTGGCAATAAAAGTAGCAATCCGGACATCGTCCAGCTGAACGTGTCATCGGAATTGTCCGTGCTACGATGTTTGCCGCAAGCGTGGAATGGCATCGAGGTTCGCCTTGGAAAGCCTGCAACCGATGAAGCGTTGCCGAGCTTTCGACTTGGACACTGCGAGAGCGTGCAATGAGTGTAAATTGTGCTCGGCGAAAGCCAGACTAACCTTAGCGGGAGCAGCTATAGCATTAGCCGGGGTCCGGACTGCAGCCGTAACTTGCACATCTACATCTGCGGATATAACTCGAACGCCTGGTAGTAATAAGAAACAGAGATTAGGATAAGCAGCCCCTTGTGGGACTCGAGCATCCGAGTACGCTTTATCGCGGCCCATAGGTGCGCGCGACTCGCAGCATCTTATTATGGAGGCGAGCGCGTGGTATAATTACTAGTCGCCGCCGCCAGCTGCTCTAATGAGAGCCACTACTCTTTTTCGCAAAATCCTTCCCCTTTTTGAATGGGCCGCCGGCAGACTTGGTGATGATAGAGACTTTGCGCTGTTCGCTTTGCACTTTATTCTCTGTACTTGCGGCTTTGTCCGCGGTACAAAGACAGGCCTTATTGTTCTCCAGTAGCAAGCTGCAATATCATTATTCGAGTTGCGGGGGCTGGCCCGGAATGCGCAGCTCACGCATACTTTGGATAAACGTGTTTACTGTTGGCGCAAATAAGAAAGGATATCCGAAAGAGAGAGAGAGAGAGAGAGAGAGAGAGAGAGAGAGAGAGAGAGAGAGAGAGAAAAGCAGCCCTGCCGAGGCTTCGAGTGCGCAGGCACTTATATTCGCCGCTGCTGTAAATTTATCACCAGTGCACTCTATTTTGTTGCTCGCGGCCGCACGTCGGCAAATAATACGCGCCTTCGCTTTTCCCAACATTTCATTGGCTTTAAAGCATTTTTATCCTCCCTAATTGAGGCTACTTTCAGCAAGAATGCGCTTTCCTCGTGGGCTCGGGTGCCGCCCCACCGCCGACGCTCGCCGCGCCGCGTCCTCCTCCATTTGCAACCTCTTCCCTTTCCTCTGCCTTCATTCCACTCGCAGACAGGTGCATCCCGCAATCATCATTTAAATAAATGCCACTTGCAACGCGCTCCTAACGAATTATTCTCTGCCCCTCTCCGCGTTCGCTTTTCTCTTTCAGTCTCGGCGCGAAAAAGTAAGCCGACACCTGCAGTCCGATGGAGGAAATCACGGCGCGCAACAATGAGCCATGGACGCCATTAAATTTCAGCGGGATTCCGAGGGAACAAAGAAACAATGCCGAGCTCATGTAGGTCATCCGAAACACGATTGAATAGCTCGCTATGCAATTTCAGGAGCGCCGGCAACAGTCGAGGGGGCAGAGAGTTCGCGCGCTGCCGCGAGAATGCAGATCCCAGCGAGCGCGGCCGACGACTGTGGTGGCGGGGCCAAGGAGAGCGCGACCAACGTCGACGCGAGCTGGCCCGCCGCTCCCGGGAGTGGAGGACGTCGAGCTGACAGCGGGACAGGCGGCGGCGGCGGCGGCGGCGGCGGCGGCGGCGGTGGCGGCGGCGCGCTAAAACTTTGATTTGTGCGACTTGTTCAGCGAGCCAGCGGAGCTAGTCCATTGAAAAAGAAGATCAGTCGATCGTTTAAACGTCCCTCGTAAAAACCGCTGTCCCGGACGCGCCCGGACGCGCCACGAGAAAGTTGGGGCGGTGGGCGCCGCTACGTTACGCGCTACTCGGCCGCGCGGGCAGAACTTTGGCGGACGAGCTCCGCGTGCAATTGCGCGCGCGACTCGTATACACGTGCATCATCGCGCGCACCTGCAGCTCCTTCTTGCGACCTGGACCGCGCGCCATCAATTACGACTGCAGCTCCGTGCCTCGCTTCGCAGCATCGCGGCGCGCGCGTGATAAATATACTCGGGGCCTTTGTTTCGCGCGCGCGCAATCAACGTCGGCGTCGGTGCGCTCGCAAAGCTGCCCCCGCCCAGGGCCCCGGGCGCTCGTCGGTTGCCAGTTGGTCAAGCAGCGTCGCCGAGCCGATGGAAGGCGATCCGTGTCGTGCTGCAAGCTCTTGCGTAAAGGCAATCGCCGCCTCGCCCGTCAATACTCTCGCGATCATGGACGAGCGCCGCGTGCAGCTTGTGCCGCGACTCTCTTTCTCAGAACATCATTCGATCAGCGTTTGTCATTATCAATACTCGTTCAATATCAGAGCGAACAATGAAAAGCTCGACGAGTGGCCTCGGAGACGTTCGTTGTGAGCAACTGATTTCATAACGTTCTCTAGGCGATTGCAGACGATGACGATGACTATTTATTGATAAATATGTAATTCATGGCATTACTAACATCTACTCGCTTCTCGGACAGACAGACCTCTCTTGACTGTCGTGCGAGAAGGAACTTGAATACCTATCCAAATTCTAATTTTGCGAATCGATATGTCTTGGTTGATTTTTTTGCTTACCCTTCGAGAGTTTTCGAAACACACATTTTTCTTAAACGGGTCCATTTTGGAATTTCTTTGCAGTGATCTTTGTATGCGTAGCGCTCTGCGAGGGTCGAAATTTCTACCAGAAGATAAATAAGATATATGGTACATATGTTTTTTTGACATACTCTCGCGTGTAGCGTTCCAATTGAGAGTGGCATTGGCGCTGTCGTTCGTCATGATTTCTCCCAATATTGCAGAGAAACGCCGAGAAAACAAAAAACAACGAGATAGTTGTTTTTATTATCGTCAGAGTTTTCACGGGGTTTGGACGAGACGCTCGTGTACGTCGTGGCGCACTTGTATAATAGATGACGGAGCCAACGGGTTTGGGTATAGGAACACTGGGAAAAACCATTCGCGTCGAGCTCAAGAGAGTAAATGTAATGAACGCGCGCAGGAAGCTCGAGCTAACAACAATTCCAGCCGCTCTATCTTGCTTTTGTTGGTTCTCTGTTGCAGCACACTCTTACAGGCCATTGCGCCAAAGTGATGGCCGCCAAGTTTCTCGGCGAGCCGTCCAAGGTAGTCACCGGCAGTCACGATCGTACCCTGAAGATCTGGGACCTGCGCAGCCGAGCCTGTGAGTTTTCAACGCGTAACGAACGCCATAATTGCCGCCATCGCGATTGCCCCGAACATTTCGCGAGCGCGCGAGCACTCGACGCCTCGAGGCATCGGCGAGTGCGCGGCCGAGCATTAACGCCTACGGGCAGCCCGCTGCCGCGCAATAATTGTTCGCAGTGGCGTTAACTCTATTTATATTTGGCCGGCCACGATCCCGCGCCCTTTTCCGGCGCGCGCGAGCGCAGCGCCGAATAATGCCATTAGGCGCACGTACGTGTCGGTCGTTCCCCGAACCGGCTGTTCGTTCCTTCTCGCGGCACTGACTTGGCCCGTAATTGCGTTTCGCGCCGTTACTCCCACCAGCGCGCCCCGCGCCACGATCCCGCGCCACGATCCCGCGCCACGATCCCGCGCCACGATCCCGCGCCCGGATAATCGCGTAAACGCCAACGGATTGCCTAGCCGGGCATAAGGTCGTTTCGCGCGCGCCCCGGCCGTTGTCGCCAATCAGCTTCGCCGACGATCGGCGAATTCGCACCGTCATCCTCGGCCGAGCGCTAGACCGTCGTCGCTCCCGCGATATTTTTCTCGCCGCGCCAACTCGTTCGTCCCTCGCTGCAGCCGGTCTTCCGACTTCCTCCGGCTCGTTGACAATTTAACTGCGTTAATGATTTCCGCGTAAGCAGACTTTATAGGGGGCTGCCATTCGCCGAGTGCATAAATGAGAGGTCGAGAGCCGCGCGCGCGCGCGCACGAGAGAGAGAGAAAAAGGCAGGCGATCTCCTTTTATAGTCCCGGCAGCTATATATAGACGGTCTTTCTCTTGCTCTCGAATTATTCGAGCCAACTCGTGATAACTTGGATTCCCCGGCATAATCGACGCCGTGAATAGTCAGCAGAGAGTCGGTCGAGATTACGGCGCCCGCGGGAACTCGACAGAGGACTTTCTTGTTTCTCGGGCTGAATCGAATTTTTGGCAGGTCTCGCCCGGCGTCGACGACGACGACGACGACGCGCCGCGCAAAACAAGTAATTAGTTCCCAAGATTGCCTCGGCCCGTCTGGCCCTTTTATCCGCCCAAACTCAATTAAACGCCGAACATTAATGCCTCGACGCGCAACGAAAAACCCGAACCCTCTGCGCGCTTCGGGCGGCTTCCCCTCGCCTAGTTCCGCGGGATTTCCATTGCTCGCGGCGGGCTTTCACCGAGGAAGGAGTCGACTTGTCCCGCGGACGAGACGCGTGCAAGCGAGGCCTTTCACCCGATCGCGTTGCAGGCGTCGAGACCAAGTTCACGGGCTCCAGCTGCAACGACCTGGTCACGTCGGACGGCTCGGGCTCGACGATCATCAGCGGCCACTTCGACAAGACAATCCGATTCTGGGATACGAGAACCGAGTCCGGGTCCAACGACATTGTCCTCCAAGGGAAAATCACGTCGCTCGACTTGTCTCGCGGTAAGTGTGGCCGGGTTCGCAGCCGCGAAACCGCCAGCGGCGCAGTTTCATGTGCGCCAGCTCGATCCCATTGCTAAGCCCAATCGTATCGTCCTAGATGCCAACTATCTTCTGAGCTGCGTCCGCGACGACACGTTGAAGCTGCTCGACCTGCGAATGAAGATGATCGTCGTGTCGTTCAGGTAAGCCAGCGTCCATATCTGTACACTCGTCCGTTCGTTGGATCGCTTACGCGTGCTCGCGGGTGGAGGGTGCCCGGTGACTCCCAACGTAACGCCGCGAGAATCAATCGCGCCCTTTGCTCGACGCCGGAACAATTCGACTTCAAAGGGACTTTAATTAAAAATTCCTCGGCCCCATTGCCGTGCATTCGACGTAAAGTCAACCAGCTACAATAACCGGCGATTCGGCACGCCGCGATGGCCTCGCGGCTTTGCCATGAATAATCCGCGTCGACTGGCGCGCCTCTGGTCACGTCGAGGACCGGGGGCAGCGCCGGCGAATGATATTGCATTCTGTTGATCAGTCGAGTCGAAGCTGTATAGAGATCGCGATCGGGAAAATTGAAAAAGCAAGCTCAACTGATTCCCATTGTTGCAGCGCCGACGGCTTCAAAGTAGGATGCGATTGGACGAGAGCGGCTTTCAGCCCCGACGGCCAGTACGCCGCGGTTGGATCCTCCGACGGCTCGATCTTTATTTGGTCCGTGGTCACCAGCAAGATCGAGACGGTCCTCAAAGACCACACGTAAGTTCAGCCTTTCGATATTGCCAGCGCGGCGCTTGCCGGCCGATCGATGGCGATTGTCGGCAAAAAGTCGCGCGGACCGAGGCGCCGCCGGTGTCCCGCGAGCAGCGTCCGTCCGCAAGGAGGCGGACGCGGCAGCGGCTGCGGGGCTGCGACGTCGGCGCCGTCGAAAAAACACCCGGAGCAGCTCGAGTCACGTATAGCCTCTCCGGGCGTCGCGCCGTTATTACTGGCTGCGGCCTCGGACGAGTCTCGGCGCTCTTTCCGAGCTTCGCGGCAATTCGTGCTCTCTGCTCTGTCCTCGCAAATCCCCGAGACGGTCTAACTTAATAAGCGCGCTCGGGCCGAGACTCGGAGCGAGCGAGGCGAGGCACGCATTTGCAGAGGTTGCGCCGTGCCGTAGCCGTTTAGCGCTGTCGAGCGCGTGCCTCTCAGCCTCGTGCAGCTCTCTCTCGCGCTCTGTATATGCGAGCAATTTCGCGACGCGAATTCGTGCTCGCTCACATGTGAAATCATAAAGCTTTTTGATTTAACGTTAATGCAGGAGCTGGCATCTAGCTTATACAACTGTCACTCGGCGCGCGGCACAATCAGCTGGCTTTTACTGGCAATTTGCATTAAATTCGAAAGTCGAACGCGGCGCTGCGCCCCCCTCCCCCTCCTCTCTCGCCGGTCGACGTATCTGCCAGCGCGGCGATTTTTGACAAACGAATACCGCCGATTCGAAACAACGAGGGAGCGAGAGGGAGACATAAAGAGAGAGAGAGTCGGAGGTCGGCCTCGCTGATTAATTGAACCCAATTTTCGCTGACCCTCCCCTCCGCCCCCCAGAGAAAAGCCCATCGCAATTCCGATGATACCGCCACAGAGCTTCCGCGCTTGCAGTTGAGCTTCCATCTCCGGCTGCGCCCGCGTCCTCGCGGCCGATGCTCTTCGGACGCGGTCGGACTTTGCCAAGAAAGCATCCGCGCGAGAAGCCCGACCGGCCGGCAATTATAACGCTGGCCAGCGCTTTCAGTGTTCCTGGTGATGCACGAGCTCGCGCTCCGTCCGATTGCGTCGCGGCCATGGCGTAAAGGACATTCCTGAGTCGCGTTTGCGACGTGTCGGGCCGCCGGCTCTCGCGGGCCAAGCTTGCCTAATACACGGGATTGTAGCGCGAGTAATTTTCATTAAAGTGCCCATTGTTGCGGCTGCGCCAGTCCGCGGGCACCACGCGTCGGACATTACTCCGCTGCGCGTTTCCTATGTATCCATACTTGCCATTTTCATCCCTCTCGTTCTCTCTCTCTCTCCCCCTAGTCAAAATTGGGTTTTCGACGCGACTACCCCGGCACACGGCACGTCTCCCCGCTGCCTTCCATATGCCGCCTGTTTACAATTAATTGTTTACCGAGCAACTATCCGCAGTCGGCCGCATTATTTTGCTCCATTATATCTCATTAGTGCAGGTGGCGCACTTGTCAGCGCCACCGGCGATCAACGCACCCGACAAAGCTCCGATCGAATTCGCCAATCAATGACGCATCGCCGTATTGTCTCTTCGTTCGCGTTCGATTTTTCGACGTTTGCTCGCTGCCGCCTGATTGCTACATTGTCGACTCGTCGACCGCCTCGCAGCGTCGCCCAGCGTCGGCAATTTCATCCTACCAATTGGTAATTGGCCGGTTTTGCCAGCGACACTTGGCCCCTTTGCCGGTGCTCTGGCGTGCCGTGCCGCAGTGATCCGAGGGAATTGCGCGATTCGCCGATCGACCATCGCCGGCGAACAAAGCTGCTTAGAAGAGGCGTCGTCGCCTTTTGAGCAGACGCGGCATTATCCTCGCGTGCGACCGCAAGAATAACCGCGGCGAGCGCTCGCGCGAGAGAATGGACTTCCGTCGAGCGAGATAATTGATTGATTGCTACCCTACCTTTATTCCGTTGGCTGGCCATTAGAGGCTCGCACGCGATGCGGGTTCCGTTGGGCGGACAAGGTGTCGATTCCGCTGGCCGCCGACAGCGTGTCGCACGCAGGGTCCGGGCGACGCGGCGGCGCGGCGGCGCGCCTCCTTCCGAGGGCCGATCGACGTATCTATGGCGCGACCGCAGCGAGCCGTCAGCGAGTCGGCTCCGTCTCTCCGGCCGGCCGGCCGCATTGCCGCTCGATTAGCTCCGTGGACCGCGCGCGTGTCGCGGTAATCGCTGCAAAACCTTGTCGTTCGCGCAATGCGCGACGCTGCCGAGGAGCCGTTATTCGCTATTGCCGCCCTGAAGATCCGGTGCCGGCCTTCGCGTCCACTTACTTGGCCGCCTCTCCTCTCGATCGATCCCCGTGAAAAGGTGCAATTTCGCGAAGCGACGCGGGCACAGCACGGAAAAAGAGAGCGGACGGCGAGGGCGAGCGGCTGGGCAAGAAACAGGACAACTGTCGGACTAAGTGAAACACATCGCGGCGTGTAATGCGGTGCCTTTATTAATCGGACGGCTGTGAATCTTTTTTCGCAGGGACGCAGTGACCGCGGTGTCGTGGTATCCGCACGGCACGTATCTGGCCTCGGTAGACCGGGCCAAGTGGGCCACCATTTGGGGCAATCACGTCTGACAGGAGGAGCAGGCCTGAAACGGGTGTCCAGACCTTCGGGCCGATCATCATCCCCAGCAGGCAGCTACCTCCTCTTCTTCGGCTATCCCATCGATTACCGACAGTCCTACCTATTCCGATTCCTATCGTTAAAATTTACCTTCGCCTCTCACCGACTCTTCTTCTCTCGTCCTTGCCTCTCCAAGCCCTCGCCCGCAGCCCCTCGCGCTTCCCACGCTCCCTGCAGTCCACGCGATCACGAGGCTGCTGCCAGTCGACTCGTGCCAACTGAAAAATACTCAAGGAGACTACTTTACGCGTCGTTACGTTGTATGCCGAACAGCCGAAAGATGAACCCTGTCGCACAAAGCTCAACGCTCGATGGAATAGCCTTACTCTGCGTGATATTTTTTTTTTTTTTTTTTTTTTCAATCAAACGTCGTGTCCCCACCAAATCGGAGCGCAAGCTATCGCTTGGAATCCGCGCAGAACTGGGTTCTACCCTGCTTTCCTCAATAATGGTTCGATCGATGATGAAATCTCGACCAAGCCGTTCGATCGTTTCACAGCAGCCGCGCCAATTTTTAATTTTTATACTTTTAGAAGTGGACAATACAACGACGACGACCATCCGCTTGCGGCTGCTTGTGGAGAGCTGCCCGGCTCGCGTGCACTCTAATCTGTGGGCACGCGTTCCCGTCAGAGCTTGCTGCGAGTAGCCTTTATTACAAAAGTGCCCCACGTTCGACTGCAAACACGTCAGCGATAGTTAACGCGCGTCGAAGCAGCACCGAATCGCGTTGTTGGCGAGCACTCCGATGCGAAAGCGGCTTCATAAACCGTTAATTTTTCCTAAGCAGCGCCTGTAGCTGCTCCTCAAACAGCATTACCGCTGCAATTATTGTTTTTTCTTTTTTTAACATAATGTTCGAAATAATAAATCAAAGGGCAGCTTTTTATGCCATTTGTAATACATATACAAAGATGATAATTTGTATGCTACACTTTGAAAAGCGAATGGAAAATGTGATGACAGTTAAATACAGCAAGCTAACGCTTTTACAGCGGGACGTAGATTGCGTAAGGGCGCAAGCCCAGCTACGAAGTTACAGCGACCAGAATAATATTCAGCCGACATTAGGATAGAGACGTACGAGCTAACGAAAAGGTTGATGGATTAAAATGTGTTCGTTGATAAAGTTTGTACATTACGTAGGCGTTCTATGACTGGAAAAAAAAAGAGTGTCATCGCTTTCAAGAGATTAGTCGGCCCAATTGGCATTCTTCCTCGCAATAAGTGCAACGCGTTTTTGGAGAATATTTTTCATAGAATAGCGATTTTTGGCTCTTTCAGCATTTTTGTGTGAATGCTACGTAAATTGGTTTCGTGTGACCTACGATCGATCAAAACTACGAATGCCTGCGCTCTCAGTCGTGGCTTCAACGATGCAGACAAATTCATTTTTTTTTATAATTTACTCGCATGGATTAATGTTTCGCATAATAGCAAACGATTTTGCTAAGATATACTGTATTTATCGTTTTTTAACAGATGCACCTTATTTTAGGGTGTCGACGTTAAATCGTAAAAAAACGAATGTTCGATGTAAGCGGTGTTTGTGATAAATTGTAAAATATATAAAATCGCCTACGAAATCGTTACGTTCAACGCAGTGAAACCATTGAGTCACTGACAATTGAAGAATGGCGTCTGTTATTGTTAAAACATTTCTAGGAATTTGGACAATGTGATTGACACTGCACGCGCAAAAAATACAAAAAAAATTAAATACTCTCAGTTGATATATTTGTACACGTACTTACAACGGTATATGCCTCGATCATAAGCACAATATGTCATCGTCACTAAATCATTGACTAGAAAAGAGGGTGCCACGTGGAAAGGGGAGAATGGTTTTCAAGCCAATAGAAAAACAAGAGGTTTATCCCTCGTTCCCTGGAGCTTGGTCTGTCACTTGGTGCGATGCGTAGGTTTCGTATCTGTTACACACACGCGCAGAATTTCTCCAGCAGCCGATAGAAAATTATGCTCGAGAAGAGTCGTCGTGGTGTAACCGGGAGGCAACGTCTTTTCAAATGAGACGACTGATCCCTGGAAGACGAACAAAGGTCATCGTTTACACGAACACGCGCACACGGATAATTACACACACACACACACACACACACACACACACACACACACACACACACACACACACACACACACACACTCTTATATATATATATTTTATGCACATATCCATATACGTATAATTTCTTTCATCGGCATAAGCCATATTGTACTTGTTAGCAAAGTGTAAAATTGTAGCGTCTTGTAAATATATGAAATTGATCTGAAATGTATTTTGTATGGAAAACAATGGGATTGAATTTAATTGCAAGCTCGTCTTGATTCCATTGAGCCTTTGTCCCGTGGGCGTGGCGCTGCTAGTCTCGGAATAGATTCGAATGGCAATGCGGCACTGGTACGAGTTGATGAATATTGTGGAAGATGTGGTTGATACGCGCCAAGTATGGGACTAGTCGGCGAGTGCAGGAGGAGGAGGAGGCGACGTCGGAAAGGCACTAGACTCGCGGGCGGCGGGCTGGCATCGATGTGTGCTTTGAAAAGCGCGCTCATTAGTCAAGCAGATGTGGTATAGCCGCAAGTGACAAGCCGCAAGCGTAGCGCGCTTCGAGAACTTTCTTGGTATTGTCTAACTCGGTCGCGGCGACGAGCAGTGTGCAACTTTAACATTACGCTCTTTGAGCGGCGTTCGACAGTTGCAACGGCAGTTCGCGCGGCAGGCCGACTCGGGGAATTCGCTCGGACGGCAAAGATCGACGGCTTTGACGTCTGCATTGAAACGACTTTCGGGCTCGCTTTATCGTCGCTCCCGCTTCTTTCTCAGCGGCCGTCGCCCCGCCATCCCATTTCTTTGGCTCCGCTCTGCGAGTAACAACGCACGGATATTGCCTCGTCTGCGTTCCATTACTCGCTCTGGACCGGATCGGACGGATCGCCCGATGGCTTTGCTTTCGCTCGCGGCCGAAACAAGCCGGCTCGGACTGGCCTCGGCGCCGCCAGCCAATCGCCACCCATCGCCACCCATCGCCTCCCATCGCCACCCATCGCCACCCGCCGCCAGCCGTCGTCGGCCGACCGCCGACCCGACGCGCGCCCGATTAGAGGTCGAGCCGCGCGCCGATCGGCAGCGACGCCTCGCGCCGAGGAATGCGCCCGAAACGAAAAAGACCGAAGCGCGGATTTTAATTAGTGTCCGCGCGCCGGCCTGCCTGCCTCGGGCCGGTAGTGGCAGTTGGCAGGGCGAGGGGGCCGACCGCAAGCCCTTGCGATTGGCAGCTGCAGCCCGAGATGCCCCGCGCGCTCGACGTTTAGCGCACCCGAGAGGCAGATCCGAAGTCCTCGCGAATTCCGACTGCCCGCGGCTAGCCGCCGGCTGGCCCAGCGAGCATCGCCGGCTTAAAAGACACTCGATCAATCGGCAAGCTCGAGCTCCGCCGATCAATCAGCGAGCGGCTGGCGCGCGGCGCTGCCGCGCTCGCGCTCATTTTCCGTGGGGGTGCGCGCGCGGAGGCCTCTCTAAAATGGCTGAGCTTTCCGGAGTCGGCGTCAGCGCCGGCGTCGACGCACTGGAAGCTGCTCGGGGTGCTTGCGTCGCCAGCTCAGTAGCCGCACGGCCAGCGTCGCGGGGAGACGCACGCGCGTCCGCCACCCGTCGCTGCTCAGTGCGCGCCAGGCCGCCGTCAAGCTCGCCGCCGCGTCGGGTGCCGTCCTCGTTCGCGCGACCAAAAGGCCTCGAGCGCAGGACCGATGGCTCGGGTGGACGGGCCGCCGCTGGTGTGAGCAGCAGCAGCAGCAGCAGCAGCAGCAGCAGCAACAGAACAGCAGCGGCGCGCGACCGACGACGCTGGACATGAGGTGGCCGAGTCGCCCGCGGCCGACTCGCTGGCCAGCGGCTGCCGGCTCGCTGCTCATCCTCGTCCTAGCCGGCGTCGCCGTACTAGGTAAGCAGTGGCCGCGCTCCTGGCGATTTTTTCCTGCTAGCTGCTAGTCCCTGCTGGGACCTGCGACCGGTATGCGGCTCTCTGCTGCCGACTACTCGGCCGGAACTGACGGCGCGGTGTGGAACGCATCGAGATCGTCGAACGTCAGTCCCGATTGGCGCGGCCCGAAAGACAGCCGCGGTCCTTGCGTCGAGGTGTCTCGCGCCATCGTTGCCTCGAGCGCGGCGGCGTCTTTGATTTCGCGCACACCACCCTCCGGCGCTCGGACGTTGTCCATCGCACTCACGCTGGATTGAGAGTCGCGTGCGATCGGTTTCGCCCGAGCGCCCCAGGCGCAGGTCTGTGCGGTCGAGTTTGGCGAGACGGGCAAGGGCTGCCACGAGTTTGAGCGGAATCGGGCGTCGGCGAGAGGGAAATTGAACTGATCGCGCAACAGTCCGCGCGATCTGGCTCGACAGGCGGACCCAGGCGTCGGGGTCCGCGAATTCGCTGGCCCGATCGTCACCTCGGGACCAGAGAGCTTCGAGCGCGCAGTGGCCGGAGCAACCTTTGCAAGTCCAGCTCCGAAAGATCGAGCAGTCGGGTCGCTGGCGACGTCGACGATGCTGCGCGCGATCTGTCTGCCGCGGAACGACTCGCGAAGCCCTGGGGCTCCGGGCTCTCTTCCCGCACCCCTCCCGAGAGGACAATTAGAGCTCGGTTTACCTGGCCGGCTCGCAGACTCGCATTACGCGAAAGCTGCTTATCCGGAGGCTGCGCCGGCGTCCCTCGCGATAGCTCGCTTCATTCGTTCCGATGGCTGGCCGCCGCCCGTCGTCGGGCTTTCCGCGCGGACTCGGACTCGGCGCGAGTCGCCGACGAGCAGCCGGCGGCAGCGAGCGACTCGGGGTGCGAGAGACCGGCCGCGCCGGGACCAAGGCAACCGAGTTTTAATGGAGGCTTGGCTGAACAAACTGGCGGCATTGCTTCGAAGAGGACAATTGCGAAATTCAGCAAATTCACGAAGCAGCTAGCTAGTTACAAACCGCTTGGCAGAAATTATCCAAGTTTTAGCGTCGAACGGGCGGGCGTGACACGGACTGCAGCTAGCGAGAGCAACTTGATAGAGAGAGAGAGAGAGAGAGAGAGAGAGAGAGAGAGAGAGAGAGAGAGAGAGAGAGTGAGAGAGCTGACTCGTGTGTCGGCAGTGCATACCTGGCGAAGAAACCCACGGCAAAGTTCGAATTAACTAACATCAAGTTGAACTGAAATTTTCGCTCGGCACTGTTCATAGAGGCGAGTCGCGTCTCGCGTGGCCGTTGTGCAGTAGCAGCAGCAGCAGCAGCAGCAGCTTGCTCTTGCGCCCTGAATTGTTTATCGGTGGAAAACAGCAACCGCGGAGCCAACTCGAACGTTCAATTAATTTCATTTCGGCCAGATGAGCCGGCGACACGCGCAACTTTCTCGAGGTGCGAACCGCTTCGTTCGGCATTATGCCATGGACGGAGCATTTTTGCGGGCCGCTGGAGGCATTTAGCGACACTGCGGTGCCGCGTGCGCGCGATCGGCCGAAGAGATGCTCGTTTCTCAGCGGCTGCTTGGCAAGCGAGAGCTCGCCCCCGCCGCCGAGGGGGCGAAACGGACAATCTCCGCGCGGGCAGGCGAGCGAAGGGCGGCGAGAAAGAAGTTTGGCGAATCGATTTGAAATTCAAATGAACGCTCGCGACGTCTCCCCGCGCCGGGCTCCGTCGAATTATTTCTGCGGCGAGGCGACAGGCCAGTGGAGAACAAGAAAATAACAGTCGGCGAGCAAGAGGAAAAGAGAGTGTCCGCTTTCCCCGTACGAGCAGTTATTTCCCCGCGAAAATCCCTCGACTCGGCGTAATTTTCATAAAGCGCCAAGTGGAGTCCGCCCTCCGGTTCTTCCGCTCGGTCGCTCGAACGTCACACGACTCTCACGGTGTGTCGGAAAGCGCGTATCTCGCTTCAACGTTCGCTCTTGCCGAGCTCTCGACACCGCGCTACTCCATAAACAATTCATTGGCTAACGAAACTGCAAGATTGACACGTTTGAACGGAGTTTCCACTTGGAGAGCTATACGAGGCTTCGCTTCGCATCCGTTCGATTCCAATTTGGATCCAGATTCACTCAATCAACGTTTTTTTCTTTTTTACTTGTATTAATTCGCAGAAAATCTGTATCGACACCAGTGCTCACGTTTTCACGTCGACATCGGCGCCTCGTGCTCTTCTACGGGGGCCGGGGGGAGGCTGTCGCAAGCACGCGGGGTGATTGGTCCAGTTATTTTCGAGTGGTTCGTCAAAAATGAATTATCTTCGGGCCGTTCGAATCCGCTATATCTTAACGGGCGATATTTCTGAAGCACACGGTGAAAATCTCATTTGGTATTCAGGTCCAAGATCGCATGGTTTTTTTACCAAGTGCCGCATAACCATGAAAACCACGAAAAAAAAAATAGCGCAACTCCTGTTTTTATCGAGGCCTACGGGCAGAAGAGGG